CATCAAAGATTGCTAGTCACAAATCATAATAACAGATATAATAATAATGAAAAAAGTTTGAAGTATTTCAGGAATTACCAAAGCATGAAGGTAGACACAAAATGAATATATGCTGTTGGAAAAATGCACCAATAGACTTTCTTGAAGCAGGTTGCCACAAACTTTTGTTTTAAAAAAAAGTAATATATGTGAAGTACAATAAAGTAAAACACAATGAAATGAAGTATGCCTTTCTTTATGATAGCCAACCAAAAATAAAAGATATGCCTATATAAAACTATGATACTTTTATAAAGATGGAATTTGAAAAATGTAAACATTCTAAGTATACAGTCTTCTGAGTGAAAACAATACTATTATCTGGTAAAATGATATGTTGCTATGAATTTTCAGAAATAACAAATAACAGTGAAATATTTATACTCATGCATTTTATATAAATAATCCAAATACATATGAAAGTCTGATTTCTGCTTATGATAAGAAACCCTTTGAAAAAACCCTTGTAAAAAATACCATAAAATGAAGCACAATAATACAAGGTATGCCTGTATACAACTGTTGGCTGTGTCCTTGATGAATGAGGAGACAGGTAAGAGGAGAGGTGGTAAAGGAGGAATCCTTAAAGACTATTTTTTAAAGTAAGGAAAACCAACCAATAAAACTGCTTCAATTCTAAAAATAAAAAGAGGGAGTGGGTAGGCACAGTTGTATATCACCTATCCAGAACCCTTGAAAAACAGGCATTTTAGGAGCCACTTACAGAATTACTAAAAATCTAACCTATTAAGTGGCTAGTCAGCATGTATTTGAGAGCCTACTGTGTGTCTGACAGTAAACACCAATATATTTTTATTTTTGTTATTAGAGAAATTAGTAAGTTATTTTACATAGTTCTTCCCTTAAATACAGATCACTAAAAATAGTTTAACACAGTCTTTCCCAACCTTTTTCACATCAGGACATTAGTAGCAGATAATTATATTTTTAAGCACAGTAGGGTTGGCTATTGTGAGGTAAACCAATGAACCACCCAAGTTGCTCCTTGTAAAAGGGACTAGTGTGGGGACTTCCGTCCTACCCAGTCATCTGAGAATGCTAAGAGGATCAATTTCTGGATCCACCCATAATTGCACACCATAGGAAACTCTCCTTTAACCTGTTGATTTGTTTATAGTCATTAACTTGAGTCTCCACGCTGCACTAAAATACAGTAGTTTCTCAGGATAGAGGTTCTAACCCTGAACAGTTCAGTCTGTGAGACTGTCTCTTAACTTGGTAAGCCCCTGGTTACCACAAAAGTTAGGCCCAGATTTTGAAGTTACAGACTATTACCTAAATTGACTGGGAGCCAAATATTCATTGTTTTTGAGGAAAACCATACATTTTATAGTTTAAAAAATATTTGGAGCAATATTGATCATTTTTGAGGAAAGACATACACTTTATAGTTTAAAAACTTAATTTAATACATTAGCTAAGACAAATCAAAGGTATTGGTCACTTTTTGATCACTTCCGGAAGTATTGTATAACTTAAATTTTATAATGGATATGAAAGTCTGAAGGTTATAATGAAATCCTTTTTTACAAAAAGGAAGCAATTAAAATAGATTAAAATTCTTCCAAAAAATTGAAACTTGATTTGAGAGCAGCATATAAAATAAAATTTCAGGAAAGAAATTTAGAATTAGTGGAGACAAGAAAGTAGAGATTACAGTACTAGTAAGAAGAAATGTAACATTACACAGATGGAGCAAGCAAAACCTTGAAAACTTATTAAATATGAGGAATTAGACATTAAAAGTGACCAGTGTTTCTTATTTACTAAAATATAATAGACTTATAGAATAAATAAGTCAGATAGCACAATTTTGAAAATAGAATGTAATGTTAGGAATAGTGAATGTTAAAGTGACAAAAAGTCACATCAAGTTATTTGGCAAGAGAAGCAGGCCAGAAATTCAGATTTGGAAATCAGATATAAAAACAATAATTGAAAACAGAGGATAGATGAGTTATCTAAAGAGAAAGTGTCATATGTGCCTAAAAATAAGTTTTTTTCTCTCCCAAAATTATCTATCATAAAAGGAGCTGCCTTATATTCAAATTGCTTATAAAATCAATAATACAAGGTAATGTCTCAGTTACTTTATTTTTGACTTCTTGAAAAAGACATACTATATTGTATTTTGGATGTAAATTCAGGCTACCTGACAATAAAATTCTCAAATGAAACCTGAGAAGTAAGCAATTGATTTTAGCAATGTCTAGGTCATTGGTGATTTTGAAAGAACAATTTCACAGAATAATGAGAAGAAAGACTTCTTAAAGTAGGTTCAGTAGAGAATAGGAGGAAAGAAATAGAAAGCAGATACGTAGAGAACTCTTGAAGAATTTTTCTATAAAGAATGCCAAGAAATGGGTTAGTGATTGCAGAGGAATATAAGGGAATATCAGGGACAAGTTGATTGATTTTTTTTTAAGATGGAAAATATTATCATGTTTTGTATAGTAGCAAGAATCATCAATACAAAAGAGGAAATTGATGATGAAAGAGTAAAAGGAAACAACTACTAGAGTCATGTCCTTAAATAGAAAAGGTTGAGACTGAGTATACACATGAAAGGGCTGGCCTCAGGTGGAAGAATGGGCCATTCATCAGTAGGAACAAGAGCAAAGGTAGAACATGAAGGTACAAGTGAAATAGGTTTTGGTATGTGTTAAGGTGGGAGTATGTGGAAATTCTCATTTGATTTTTCTTTATTCTCAATGAAATAGGAAGCAAGACCATAAACTAAAAGTGAAAAGGGGATAGAAGGTGCTGGCAATTTGAGGAAAAATAGTCATTTAGGAAAATATAATACAACAATGAATATTGTTAAGCAAGGCTGCCATAGGCTGGGCAATGCACAGCTCCAAGGAGTGTTATTTATGTAGAATGTGATATGAATGGCAGTTCTGGAGTTGTATGATACAGTAGCCCTTTATGGAGAACACAAATATGTACATTTTAGGTATATGAAAAAGCGAGTTGTGCTTATGTTCTATGACTGGTTTCATGCATCTTAGGATAAAATTTAGTAATGGTGTCATATTCGAAATTAAAAAAATATGATGTCTAAAACATCTTAAATATAGGTGAATATGATGAACTGTGGGACAGTGGTTTTCACATTTGTTGCTTGTTTATCCCTTAAAAGAATTTTTAAAGTGTATAATTTTAGGATGATACCTAAAAAAATTTTCTGTAAGTTTAAATAGTTGCAAAGGATTTATTTTCTGGTATAATGAGTAGTACATCTATGCTTTAATTATATTTTCATAAAAATATAAAGTTTTAACTCATTTTATTGGAGTTAGAGATTTAGTTCATTCAATTTATGGGAAATCTGTGCTGTAAAATCCAATTCGCAAGGCCATTTCTCATTGTCAAACAATCGGCCAAATCAAACTCAATTTTTGTCAGAAAAAGTTAAACTTCATATTTTGCTTGGTTCCACCAGAGACTTTTATACACTACAGCCATACACCTTAATAAGATCTGAAAAAGATGGAGAAATATCTTTCTCTTGTAAAGTGGGAGAAGGGCAAGTCATTTTTAGAATGAACTCATATGGAGTTTAGGATCCAGAAATCAATTTTCTTAAAGCTATACATGCCTATCTACACCACAGAGAGTGTTAGATTATCCCAGGGTAAATGTACACCACCAGTTTGAAGACCTGTACTATAGGACATGTAAATGATTCCCAAAGTAGGGCTAATGATGATGAAGACATTTGTGTCAAATGATGCCAAAAGTGGAATGAATTTGTTTCATGAAATGTGAGATGGGAAAAAAAAATCATTTAAAAAATATTTTTATAAAATATTATTTTAAATATGTATGTGCAATTGATTAATTTATCTTGTAGACATTTGATTATTCATTTATTTGCCTATGATTGTATACATTTAAATTGTCACCCCAAAAAAGTGGTTTTGTCTCAATAGGAAAAAGGAAGGATGGCCTTATTTTTGGCATAAATGGTATCATACAGTCTCACCTGGCTATGTATGGGTCCATACTCTCCTCAAGATCAGGATATTTGAGTTCCAGGGGAGAAAGTGAATGTCTACAGAGGCCTCCTACATTCAGGATCCACAGTAGTTTCCACAATTGGCCTATCTCTAAGAATCTGAATTTCAGTGGGCATAAAGTATCAAAATTTTACTCTGGAACATACCAGGACAAAATTTCATGCACTACACACCCTACTGATTTGTATCTTATTTAATATTCACATAATTTTTTTTTATTTTCTAGTCTGAGCCAAATAGTAAAATTAGAACATTATCAGTGCTAAAGACATGAAGAACATGGTTTCAGTACTTCAGTGAGTTAATTAACAAAATATCTCAAGCTCCTAACTCCTAAATTCACCTGGCTTACTGAAAAATAAAATCAGGAGCCTGATAAAAATATGTGGATGGATCACAAAACCTGTAATTATCACTGAAAAATAAAACCATATGTCCTCCTGACATCATACTCAAATAAGGAGAAAATATGAATAATATTAGGTATCATAAATGAAAACTTAAAGTCAGCCTTAAATGATTTCATATGGTTGTTTTGTTTTTATGGATGAGTGTAATTTTGTTTCATTGGAAATATTTCTAAATATTGATGAATACTCTCCAGAAGGTAAGAATGTTCTTCCTATAGAACATTAATATTTATTTTCTCCCTTACCTCCATACCACCAAGCAGCAGTCCTTGCTCTCACTCAGTGCAAATACATATTTCTCATATCTGCATAAAGACTACATAGAGTGAAGCTGGGTTTTTGTAGAGAATATTTAGAAATTTGGAGAAAGGATTCATAAGATATTTAAGAAGTTATAAACTTAGTACTGCTGAGGAAGTAAATATTTTCTGGTCATTTATATTATGCTAATAAGTTGTTTTCAATCTAGTTAACTATTACATTATAATTCATTATTTTCTATTCACAGGGCTTCATTATTTCAAAAATGTTGTGCTGGTGGGATCTCTACAGGATCGCTATGTTCCTTATCACTCTGCCCGTATTGAAATGTGTAAAACTGCTTTAAAGGACAAACAGTCAGGTAATTAAATAAGTTAAAAGTATGTGAAAGAGTTATATCTATTAAAGAAATTTTTCTCAAATTTTTCTTGTGATCACTTTCTCTCTTCTCTTACCATTCTCTTTCCTTTTTCTTCCTTTTCCACCCGGTGATATTAACAGCTATCCTTCTCCCATTTTTCTGCCTTTCTCTACTGCCACATAAGCTGCCTTTACCAATGAAGTAGTTCTTTTATCTAATTACAAATGCTTCTCCATTTTGCTGCATCATAAGTAATTCATTCTTTGACTTCCTCTGGATTATTGGGATTGGTGACTGTGGTAATGGTCATGCTGCATGTTTTGCCATATCTCATTTTTAAGCAAAGACGGCAGCAAGAACTTGCCCCTGTTTACTGAGAGTGAGCGATAAACATTTTATTTGTTTATTCTTTTGTCATTTATGGATGACAAAAGAAATTTAAATCATAGCTATTTGGGGCCTGAAGGATACTTAAGTGCTGTGTACTCATTTTGTAACTGAGGCCCAGAGTTACTAAGTGGCTTGATCCAAAGTCACTGTCAGTTAATTGCAGGCTTAGGGCAAGAACTTGGTTCTCCTACCTCTCAATAATGCGTTGGCTCCTTTTTTGAAATGAGACTGAGTTTTAATCTCTTGATCCTTTGGTTTTTCTACATCGTGACAATGAACAGCTCCTTAAGGCAGGAATTCTCTTAAGCATATTTGTATTTTCAGTGCTAGCATGGTGCTTGGCACATAGTAGGTATTCCATTTATTTAACAAATGTTCATTGTACATTTGTGACATTGGAATAACCTTTTTTTAACTTCTGTTCTAGCAAAGGCTAGACTCCACTGAAGGGAAAAATTCAAAAGAGGTTTAACCTTCAGATGGGTAGCTGAAACTAGATAAACATCCTTTGTTTTAACAGTGAGATTCTGTGCCCCTGGAGACAGGGAACATCTCATGAAGACACATTTGGACTTCTTATGTAAACGTATTTTTTAAATAGCATGGAACCAGAAATCCAACTTGACTCACAATGAAAACTAAGAGGAGAGGTGGGAGTAAAAAGTTTTTTTAATGAATTTATGTGATATCAATCTTTCTCTTAAACACCTCTCTCCTCTTTCTCCGATTGTGCCTTCTGTATACTGTTTCCTTCTTGTCATTCCTCAGGGCTGCATCCTACACCTCTCCTCTGAAATACAGTATCTACCTCTCTAAAACACATAGGTTCCATGGACATGTTAGTATTTATCTATTAGTGATATAGTAGTGTATAAGCATTATAAACAATATTATGCCCTTTGTAAGGCAGTTTGTCCATTTATGTGTATGCTAATCTTTACCTTTTATGCTTAGCATGAGCTCAATAAATCCATTGTAAGAATTAACCAAAAAGAGGTAAAGAGGAAGACAACTTTGAATTAGAAGTAGAACCAAATATTAAATAAACCTTCAGACTAAAAAAAAAAGATCTTGTTTGTTCTTTGAGCCAAGCTCACATTGTTCTTCTGACTACAGGAAGTTGCTATTCTTTCTTAAAATAATTTGGAAATGTTGACTGCTGTAAAAACGTTTTTCAAGTACTTGCTGTAGACTAAAGTTTATAATTTTGCCTTATCAAAATGTCTTACCATGGCGAGCTTATTTTTATAAATAACTAAACATTGAAGAAAACTATTTGCTTTGTTATATATGTTGCTTTGAGTTAAAAATATCAAATTGCCTAGAATAATGTATAATAAATTTATTTTCACTTTGCTGCATAAATAATGTGATTACTCATACTTTCTATTAATATAAACATTCTAAAAATGATAGCTGAAGAAAAATAAAACCTTTTAAAAGACATTTTTCTGCTTTCTATAGAAATAATGTAACAAAATTTTATAAATTATATAAAACTTGATATATAATTGTTTTTCAGTTACTTATATGAACTAATTTTCTTTTTTTCATTTGTTCCATAGGACAGATCTATTCAGAAATGATCCACAACTTGCTTCGCCCAGTTCTGCAAAGCAAGGACTGTAATTTGATTCGATACAATGTCATCAATGCATTGCCCAATACAGCCGATTCACTCATTGGGAGAGCTGCACATATAGCTGTTCTTGATTCGGAAATATTTTTAGAGAAATTCTTTCTGGTTGCTGCCCTCAAGTATTTCCAATAGGATGAAAGCATTATTAGAGACTGGACAATTACCTCATTCAACAGTGATTCAAATAATGTATTATATTAAAATGTAGATGCTGATAAGTTCTAAGAAATATTTATACCTTTTATATGGAAGATGATTTATATCATCCATATTTAGAGCTTTTTAAACATCAACTTTACTTTCTAGGTAATGTGGCTGTGCAATATTTTTTTAATTTTATCTTTTTACTTTTCTATTACTTTTTCATATATTTTGCTACCTAATTATTTCAGTGAAACTTTAAGCCCATATGTATGTCTGATTGGTTATTATTGGCTTTCCACAATCTTTACATCAGACTACATTATATTAAAGGCCATTATTGCTAGAATAGCATGGAATTTTAAATTTTCTAGTATTGGGGTATTATTTAGTTAATTATAAATTTTACTTTTAACATTTTACTGTGTTTTAACTGGAAATAAAATTATGGCTGCTACAGTATATTTTTTGAAATCAACTTCTTTAGTCCTGAAATATACCTTTATCATATTATCAAACCAGGCAGTTCATATATGACAATGTTATAAAAGTTTTCTATAAAATCATTACTGTTGCTATTAAACATATGTCATGCCTATTAAAATATATTTTCTACTGGTGATTTCAACATTATTTCTCATATTGACTTTTATTACTGGAAATTTTCATGTTCACGTTAGCAGCATATAAAGATTTTTGAATGTTCGAATGCCCTCTGCCTTGATTTGGTTGGAATCTTGCTAAATTGGTAATGTTGCTTAAACTTTGTGACTACATTTCTTTAACTTTTTTCATGGACTTCCTTATATGTACATAATAATTAAATGTTAAAATTTATGAAATACTTTTATGAATTTAAATAATTTTTAAATATTGTTAAAAATTTTTGAACTAAAAAGTAATGTAAATAAAATAATTCATATTTAAAATGCAACAAAATAATTAAATTTACATGTCTAATGATACGGATGCAAATGTTTTTGATATATGGAGATGCTGAGTCTTTTGACTTTACTAAAAAGGTGCTGAATAGCATTAAATTCACTATTTTCCTTTTCTGTTTTACTTGCGAAAATAATGCACTAAGGGTGGATAGAAGTTCTGTTTGCATTCACCAATTGTGATGGACAGGTTTTTTGTAAGTATATATTGTATAATTGATGCATGTTTATTTTTAGCGTTGTATTATTGCCCCTGGTGTTAATAAATGAACAAATGACTATCTGGAGGAAGAGCTAAAACACTTGTAATCCTTTGCTTATTCTCAGAATACTAGAGGTATATATTTTTATTTGTAACTCAATATACTATATAAATTAACCCTACCGACCAGCATAATTATATAAGTTTTAGCCTTCGTAAAAGTATTTTTATAATTTATATCTTTCATATATATTAAGTTAAAAGAATTTTGATTGCTCTTGATAATTTTTTACTTTTTTAAAAAATACTCAAAAATTCCATAAACTGACCAAATGCATTATAACTGGGAGAATGTAAATATATGCATATCCACTACATATTTCTGCCACATACATTTTTCATGTTCACATACATCTTGGTCCTGAGTTTGAATATAATGTATCTTCTAAGTTTGGATAACTTCCAGGTTTATCATTCTTACTCACATACGTAGTATTTAAGAGTAAATTGTTCTTGTGATCATAGGTGGTTGATTGCTTGTTGGTTATTTTAATGGAATTTTCAAAGTACTTCTGTGGTTTAAAAGCTAACAAATTTTAACTTCTTTGATTTATCAGGGAAACTATCATATGCTGTTCACCTCCAAATTCAGATTGTGAGAGATTGATTGTGGATCTGAGGGAGAGGGGAAATGATTACCTGAAATAGTCTAATTGACTATTAGAGAATGAATCTCACTAAAGTATACCAATAAGGGTTTTGGTTGCAAACAACAACAAAAAATTATGATTAACTTAAGCAGAAAAAGAATTTAATGGAAGAATGGAACCAGGTTTGGAAAACAGAAACCAAAGCAAACTAGATAACCAAAATCATAGCCAAGTTCTGATGATCTCAAGAAGAGCTGGAAGACTATTCTGCTGGCAGGGATGTCCCTGAAAACTGGATTTCAAATATTTATTTGCATAACTCCAGATTCAAAGTCGAGTGGAATGTCCAACTGACCAAGTTTAAGTCTTGGCCAGTCCTTGAGCTGTCGGGCATCAAAGGCAGCAAATCTGTCACCTTCCACGGTAGAAAATGAGACCATTTCTTCTACCAAGATTCACCAAACATATGAAATGGGTTTGATGACAGCTTCAAATACAAGAACATATCAAAGGTCTACCATAGTCCATTCTTTGTCTTTCCACCATCTGCAAGCCACCATTCTCCCCATATTTACACATTTAAAATGCTTCCTCCTGACTATCCCTCATCCAGCTTCAAGTCTAGCATCTCAGTGTGACGTCTCATGGTTCTCTGGTTCTGCAATGGTCTTGTCTCAATAGTTTGCAGCTCACAGACAAAATTGTGACCTAACCACCACCCCTATACAAAATAATAGTGTAAGATAGGGAAAAAAAGAAATTATATAATATGCATGAGCCAGTGAGAAAGGAAATAGAGCAATGCTTTGCAAGTGTCCTTGGTGAGAATCACCTGGGCTGTTTGTTCAAAATACAAATTTCAAGGCCCCATTACAGATCAACTGAATCAGAATTTCCAGGATAGTGTAAAGGCAGCAGCATGTTTTATGTCCCAGAATTCTCTTATAAAGGACATCTATGGTAAATACAATACTCAGTTCTATCACTGGTCATGTCTAGATGGTTATGAGTTCTCACCGCCACCTATTTCTACTTCCTTTGTGTTCCACCAACACGAATCAGCTTATCAGATTTCTTTGTCTAGCAGGTGTCCCAAAGATCTGAGATGTGAATGATCTTGCCGATATATGGCTGTAATAGTGTTTGCTTACTTTTTACAATTCAATGTAAAAATAAAATACAAAAACATGGTATTGTGAAGGAGGTATTCTAGGAAATCCCCTGAGTTCTAGTCAAACTCCACCTTTTCCCCCATTGTCATCAGGCCCAATCATTCCAACTAGCACCATCACCCCTTTTTCTACTCTAGAGGAATGAGGAAAAAATGATCAGGTGGCAATTCCACCTTCCAATTTAGAGAAAGCATTGTTGTATCCTCTCAAGGAAGCACTTTCCCTCTGGATGCAAAAATTACACTAACACAATCTGGAATCACTGAGATGGATGGCAAGAGTAGTGAAGGGTCTGAGATTTTATCCTACTTGCAAGCTAACAGGCTAACCTGCTACAGTTTTGTGGATGCTGACAGGATACTCCTGAGTAAAAGACAAACAGCTTTATTACAGCAGAGTAGCCAGAGTGTCAGCATACTTGCATCAGTTCCTGGAGTCCAAATTCCTGGTGTGAAGCAGAGGGTCAGGTGACACCTGTACATATGGCAGCTTGCATTACAGGGAAAGAAACCAGGATCAAGCCATTTTTGAGCAAGCAGCAATCAAACCAGTCTCTTTCTCCCAGGGGCAGAGGACAGCAGTTAAATGGTAGTAAAGCTGTAATTCCCTTGACCTACTTAGGTTCCTATATGACTAGCTACAGAAATGCTCAGTATCAGGAGATGGGTAATACTTGCAGTCTGGCACACTTGGCAATAATATACAGGGATGCTCAGAGCCCATGGCAGATTGTCTCTTCTCTCCCACAGTGGAAAGCAAAATATATTTTACAATAATAGTATGTCAGATGTAATAGTGAGGTGTCAATCCCTTTTCTACTCTTTGGACGTGTTAGTCTGTCAACAGAAGAGATATCACTGAATACTGTTAAGACATTTATAAATGAGCATCTGACAAATCCTTTAGGATTGCATCCCAAAGTATATTTTCTCACCTGGTTCCACAAAAACCTTCAATAAGGCTGTCCATCATTCCATAACACCAGTTGCTTCTGGATGATGGGATACAAGATAAGATGGGTGAATCCAGCTATCAGTCCCCTGCTTTACATCTTCACAGGAAAAGGAGTTGGTAAGCAATACATACATTGGTAAGCAATGCATGGGATGCTGTATGGAGTATAATGTATTCAATAAGTCCACAGATCAAGTGTATAAAAGAAGTGTAAATCAGGAAAAGCAATCCAAACCCAGAATAATTGTCTATTCCTGTAAGAAAAAATTGCTACCTCCTTCATGATAGCAATTTCATTGTAATCACACCTGCCACCCAGGCTACCTAATACTATATCACGGAATTAAGTTGGTCATGCAGTTGAGTACTGGTACTAGCCAACTGGTCGACAGCAGGGAAAAGACTATGGTTAAAAGTTCATAGGTTTCCATTCTTGCCACCATGGCTACCGTGTTAGTGGTTCCACTGAGCAAACACAGCTGTGGTAGGGGAAGGAAGCTGACTGATGTCCACAGAGTGTGTCACTGTGGTAGGCAGCCCTTGTGTAAGCCTTCTCCCTTTGATACTGGGCTTGACCTAATGATAGAATACAAGAAAAGTGGTGAGATGTCTCCACTGAGATTACAAAAAGATTGGGGCTTCCATTGTGAATAGTCTTTCATGCTCTTTGGATCATTCATTCTGTGGAAAGCCAGCTACTATGTTGTGAGATGGCTTTTGGAGAAGCCCACTTAGCAAGGAACTGAGGAAGGTCTCCAGTCCAAAAGTTCACAAAGAACCAAATCCTGCAACTAATCATGTGAGTGAGCTTGGAAGCAAGCTAGCCGTGCCTTCATTTGAGACTGGAACTCCAGCCAATGGCTTGGGTACACTCTCGTTTAAGACCTAGAGCCAGAGGCACTCTGGCTGCTGGATTCCTGGCCCATAAAAACTGTGGGTGAATAATTGTTTATTGCTTTAAGCCACTAACTTTGGTATAATTTGTGAGGCAGTAAGAGATAGCTAATATAATAATCTTGTCCTGATTAAGAGTCCTTCTCCAATGGAAGCCTTTTTGGGTGGGGTATTGGGGGGCCCCAAATGTTCTCATGCTTTGGGGTCACTTTGAGGGGTCCTATTCCAAAGAACTATTCCAAAACTTTTATATCCCAGTCACTGCCCATGAAATGATGTAGATCTTTATTTCAAGCCTTATTTCTTTCTAGGCAAAGTATGCAAGATAAACTAAGTTCTGCCCTCTGGGGAACTTTTTTTTCCCCCTCCACTCTTCCTTTAGGGCCTTCATAAATGGGGCTCCAAATGCAAAAAGCAGTCCATTGCCAGTTCGGTCCGTTTATTAACAAAGCCATCTAGAATTCAACTTTGATTTCTTTCCTCAGTCTACTGGTCACAAATCAATTCGTCATGAAGTTGTAGATATAAGCTAAGGGTCAAAAGCATGACCATAGAGTGTGAGCTACCTGCTAATGAAAATTGCTTGGGTTTTGGCCACAGCAGGTTTCCTTATCTAAGAGGACCAGATAACTCTCAGTTCATGATGAGAAACTCAAGATTGCATAGCCACCTGATATCACAGGACCAGACACTACCATGGCCCAATAGCTAAACAGAAACTTTTCTAAAAAAAAAAAAAAATCCAAAAATTCTACGGACCTTCACTATGATTCTGTAAAGATGTCCACAAGCATCCTGATCTGCCACATATACTCTGAACACTATTGGTGCTGTTGGAACTAAGGGTCCAGTGGCAGAGCTCCTCGCTAGGCATCCTGGTCCAGATGGAGAGCCTTCTCTTGCTCTGCACCTCACTCAAAAACATCATCTTTCAGATCATCTAGCCAGGGAGTCAGAGCTGATGAATTAGGAACTTATTGAACAAAGAGATATTTAAAATATAAAACATTACTGCACGTAAGAGTGGTTGAAAAAAAAAAAGAAAAATAAATAAAATATAAAAACAGAGGGAGAATGAAGTAAAAGCAGCAAATATTTTACATGAGTGCAAGAGTGAAAGGTGATCAATGTTAGTATACTATAAAGAAGATTATTCCAGGAGACCTTTTGGCTCTAAGAGGCATACACGGAATTATCCCCTCATCTACCTTAACCATGATTTGGGGTTTTAATCAACAGTGTTCAAGGGTAGTTTGGGTCTTCCTTGGCGAGACAGCTGAGCCACTTCCCCTGCTCCTTTATAGCTAGGGTCTGGCTCGGGAACCAGGACTCCTAGAGCTGGCTGCAGAGGCCCCGCCCCACGGAAGCCCCGCCCCCGTGGGGCGGGCCCGGGCGCCACCGCCTGCTCCTGCCCACATCCCTTTGCGC